GTGGGTGGTGAACTGAGGGCCTCTCCTATACCTTGGCATTAGTTCAGAGCACCTGACATTAGACCAAGTCCATCAATAATAAAGGTGCTTGCTGATCAATGTCAACACTGCCCACCTTGGCATCACCCCTCCAACCTCTCCCAGAAACCAAAGCGATTTTATTAAGGTGCCCAAGCAGCATCCCCCGGGGAAGAGAGGGGTCCTTTGGGACAGTGTCGGTACCTTGTTCTCAGTTCTGTCGATGGCCGTGAGGAAGAGCAGGTGGGCCAGGAAGAGGCAGATTGAGAGCTGCAGGTGGAGTGAGGTGCTGGTGTTCTGGATGGCTTTGCACAGCAGGAAGGTGAGGGCCGCCAGGAGGAGGCACAGCAGAGAGAGGCTCAGCCCCACATAGGTGATCACAGCAAGGGCGGGATCATCATCCTGGGACCCAGGAAAGAGGAGAGAGCAGTCACATTCTCCTAATCTGGGTAATCACCCTTCTACCATTTTCAGTTTGGGGAGGGTTCAACAAAATTAGGAGTGGAGGAGCCAGGTAAATTTGTGATGTTTATGGGCACTGTTAGAATTCTAGGGGGTTCTGAACTGATTCATTCAGATCCTGTAAACATTGAGGGATAAGAGAGCCCTCATTCTGGACCGAGCCCTGGAAATCACAGGGTTGATTTTCCTTCATGACTAAGCTTATAGGTTATCATGTGACAGTCACAAAGGTGCACAACTCCATGTTGAGCACCATCCTCCATCCTAATGAAGTGATACTGTGTGACAGAGTCTGTATCTGGAGACTCGATGTCCAGGGATCAATTCCCCACCTTGGACTTACTCACCTTATCCCTGCAACACCTGTTCCTTACAGGTTTAGATCCTTGGTTAAGGAAAGATAAGTACTGATGATGGTGGTAGCTTAAAATTAATATTTCCAGCCCAATTTTTTATTATATATTTTAAAAAATGTATTTGTATTGATTTCAAGGAAGGGGAGGGACAGAGAGAGAGATAAAAACATCAAGGATGAGAGAGAATCATTGATCGCTGCCTCCTGCACAACCCCTACCAGGGATTGAGCCCGTAAATGGGGCTTGTGCCCTTGATCAGAATCAAACCCGGGACCCTTCAGTCCACATGCTGATGCTCTGTCCTCTGAGCCAAACTGGCTAGAGCTCCTGACTATTTTTTAAATATTAAAATTTTTCCTGTTTGTTTTTTTCAAGTCATCTTAAATCCATAGGAAAACTTAAAAAATTAATTTTTGTGTAAATATGTGTGAGAGAAAATGAGGGACGGGGAGAGAGAAAAACAGAAATGTGAAGATGATAAAGGAAGTGGAGGACAGCAATCCTCAGATGAGATGCTTGTGTATGACCCTGATGGGACAACCCAGGTGCACCATGTTTATTTATTGATTCACATAAATTACAGAATAATAAATTATGTTTTTTAGGTGCAACCTGCATGGAAGTTTATTACATAGCAATAAGCATTGAACAAAGTCCCTTCTCAAGGCTCTCACCTGCACATCATAGTGGGCCATGAGGACGGCAAAGCTGCTGAGGTGGCTGCATTGGCAGGTGGTGCTGGTGTCTCCGGTGGCCACCATCCAGCAGCCTTTGGTGTTCCAATGACCACTTCCATTCTGGCCAGGCTCCCAGAAGACACAGAACACCTTCCACTTTGGCCTCGGGGTCACTGACTGTAGGAACAGGGCAAAGTGTGAGCCGGTGATTAGGTGCTCAGAAATGCTGACCCAAATTCTGCTTGTGATGGGCTTCCCTGGGGAGATGATGCACCCATGGGAAAGCCCCTGAACCCCAAGACTGTGTCCAAGACTCCGGCCTCTTCCACACCCACAGCCTCGTTTCACCAGCACTCACATGCTTGAAGACAAAGGTGACTGGGGAGCTGAGGTTCTGAGTGTCCGTATTGCTCACAAAGGCTGTTATGACATCTGAGAGCAGGACGGGGGAGACTTCCTGCAGCAAGCCCTTGTGTGTCTCATGCAGTACTGACTGCTCCTCAGTTTCCAGGACTAGGGGGGTGTCACATCCATGGGTGTCTTGTTCAACTTGAAGCCTCATTGACCTTCTCTCCACCTCAGTCATTACCTGAGCCACCTGAGTCCTGCACCACATCCCAGTTCACCAGCATCTTTGCCTGATTAACACTCAGGGTGACATTCTTGTCTCCTTGCTTCTTCACCTCCAGGGACAGTTCTATGAGTTGTGGGAGTTACATAAGGGAGTGAGATTAGTAACTGTGCCAGCACTTGTAGCTATAATTCCATTTTAATGTATAGATATTTTTTATATATATTACTAGAAGTCTGGTGCACAAAAATTTGTGCATTGGCAGGGGCGGGAGTCCCTCAGCCCAACCTGTGCCCTGTCACAGTCTGGGACCCCTCGGGAGATAACCATCTGCTGGCTTAGGCCCACTTCCCCGGTGGCAGATTGCACGCCCAATCCCCCAGTGTCTGCCCCGTCTCCTCTGGTCGAAGATGGGAGGCCCGGATCCTGTGCTGGGTCGGGCGATGGCTGGGGATCACGCCGCCACCTCCCCCAACCCCCTGCCCCAGGCTGCACACGGCAGGCCTGGATCACACGCTGGGTCATGCAGTTGCTCAGATCACACTGCCGCCTGCCCCTCCAACACCAACCCACACACGGCAGGCCTGGATCCCCCGCTGGAGCAGGTGGCTGCTTGGGATCGCATTGCCCACGCCCTGGACCACACACACGGCAGGCAACGACTGGGAATCTGGGCTGAATGTATTAAATGCAACTGAATTGTACACTTTGATTAAAATGGTGGAAGGCCAATTATGTGAAATTCATTTCAAAAAAGAAATCTCTTAAATATCAGATAATATTAAATTGGAATTCCTCCAAATTTAATAATTTGTTTTCTTTTGAGGCCATTTCTATTTTATCTTAATTTATTTATTACTAGAGGCCTAGTGCATGAAATTCGTGCAGGGGGTGGGGGAATCCCTCAGCCCAGCCTGCACTCTCTCCAATCTGGGACCCCTTGGGGGATGTCCGACTGCCTGCGGGATCAGGCCTAAACTGGCAGTCAGACATCCCTCTCACAATCCGGGACTGCTGGCTTCTAACCACTCACCTGCCTGCCTGATCACCCTGTAACCACTCCCCTGCAAGCCTGATTGACACCTAACTGACCTCCTGCTGGCCTGATGGCTCCCAGCTGCCCTCCCCTGTCAGCCCAATGGCCCCCAACTGCCCTCCTCTGGCAGCCTGATTGCCCCCAACTGCCATCCCCTGCTGGCACGGTCACCCCTGACTGCCCTCTGCTGCAGGCCTGGTCCCCCCCAACTGCCCTCCCTCCTCTGCAGCCCAGGTTGCCCTCAACTGCCTTCCCCTGCTGGCCTGGTTGCCCCCAACTGCCCTTCCCTGCTGGCCATCTTATGGCAGCCATCTTGTGATGATGTGGGGGCGGCCATCTTGTGCAAGGGCATGATGGTTAATATGCATATTACCTCTTTATTATATAGGATAATTATTTCATCTGCTGATAATTTATATTACAACGAAAATGTGTAGTATTGATAATTTTTTAAAATTTTCTTTTAATCTTTTATCTTAATACTAGTAGCCCAGTGCATGAAATTTGTGTACATTAAAAGGGAATTATTTGCCCTAACCAGTTTGGCTCGGTGGATAGAGCATTGGCCTGCAGACTCAAGGGTCCCAGGTTTGATTCTGGTCAAGGGTATGTACCTTGGTTGCAGGCACATCCCCAGTGGGGAGTGTGCAGGAGGCAGCTGATCAATGTTTCTCTCTCATCG